CACTGAGCCACAACCCTAGAAGGGGACTCTTTTTTTTTTAATTTGTTATTTTTAGTTGTAGATGGACACAATACCTTTGGTTTTATTTATTTATTTTAATGTGGTGCTGAGTTTTGAACCCAGTGCCTCAAGCATGAGAGGCAAGCACTCTACCACTGAGCCACAACCCCAGCCCTAAAAGGGGACTCTTAATGATAAAGATATTATTTAATCAAAGATAGAAAAAATTTGTTTCTATATATGCCTAATTTGGTTTCAAAATATATACAACAGAAACTGACAGAATCCTTGCTAATAGAATATTAATACGGGGAATTTATATTTTCATGTCATTCCCTACACAGAATTTTAATATAATATATTCATTGCTTGAAAATCTCTTATTTGTTAATCTATCACAGTACTCCGCAACTTTTTTAAAACCTCCCTTAGTAACTGGTAAAAATGAACTGATAAAATGTCAAGAAGGATATAAAAGATTTGAACTCAATCAGCAAATGTGATTTACAGGACCTAAACCACATGCTACATTCTGTAAGTAGAGAATCCACACTCTTTGCAAGCATGCACAAAACATTTCCCAAAACTCTTGAGGGACCATGCCCAAGTCTTAACAGACTTTCAAGGGACTGAAATTCTTGACTGTAATGCAATTACACTAGATATCAATAATTTAAAAATTTTAAAAATTACCAAAATAACCCTCATTTATTTGGAAAAAAATTAAACCATATCACACATATACAAAAGTCAATCTAGATACCACATTTCAATGATCTGGGCCTAGCACTAAAGAAAGAGCCCAGCTTGGTGTGAGGTGTGCACTGGAATAAAAGAGCAAACTGAGAAAGGGAAGAGGGAAAGGAAAATCTATATTCCTGTTCCAGGTATGCTGGTAAGAAGGTCAGCTTCAGGTAAACTCACATATGGAAGCGGAGAACCTGGAAACTGATTCTGACAAGACTATGCAAGCCTTAGAAAGTCTCCATAAACCCCAGATTAAAAACTACAGGGGCTGGGGTTGTAGCTCAGTGGTAGAGTGCTTGCCTCGCATGCGTGGGGCACTGAGTTCGATCCTCAGCACCACATAAAGCAAAATAGACATGTGTCCACCTATAACTAAAAAATAAATATTTGAAAAAAGACTACAGAGAAGGAGGAAAATTTATATATATATGATATACATATAGATGTATAAGAAGTTCAACATATGAAAAATATATATTATATATATAATATATGAATGTGATATAAACAACATAAGCCTCTGAAGAATTTGAAGGAGGTAAGGTACAGATTTAGAAGCTGCTTTGGGGGCATAGTTCTCAACCATGACTACAGAGCAGCCACCTGAAGAGATCAGAATTTTTTTTGGGGGGGGTGGGGTACCAGGAATTGAACCCAAGGGTACTTAACCACTTGAGCCACACCCCCAGCCTTTTCATTTTTTATTTAGAGGCAGGGTCTCACTAAGTTGCTGAGGCAGGCTTTGATTTTGCAATTCTCCTGCCCTAGCCTTTCAAGTTTCTAGGATTGTAGGCATGTGCCACAATGTAGCCCATTTCTTTCACCCAGCTGAAAGCTCAGAAATTTTAATGAAAATATTTCAACATAAGACAAATTTTTAATAACAAATTTTAATGAAACCAGAATCACCTGGCAGGAACAGATCATTTTATAGTCAGGCAGTTTCCTCATCTTTGCTTGGAACAAGGTGAAAGGCAGATATAATCTAATAGTCAGATGATACATCATTAATAATTCTGATAGAAGATCACTCACAACATGATTTGGGGTTTAAAAACTAAAGGAAGTTCAAAATATTGAGTGGTCCTGCTATACCAATACTCCAACTCCATCTACAATTTAAGTGAACAATTTCTCAGAATTCACATTAAAAAATAAAAAGCAGATGTGACACTGAAGCCCATATCATTTTGCCTCTAGTATCTTGTCCATATGGTGAGGCTAGGGAGACAACATCTCATTGACATGCATTTCAATAAATTACCACTTTTGTATAATAGATATTCAAAATTTGTGTAATGTATCCAGGCATGGTGGTGCACACTTGCAGGCCCAGATACTCTGGAGGCTAGGCCAGTAGAATCCTTCAGCCCAGGAATTTGAGGTCAGCCTGGGCAACACAGTGAGACTCCATAATAAAATAAAAATTAAAAATTCTGTACTGCACTATTTTGATCAATTATGAACCAATAATCCCAAAGAAAATATTAAAACCTAAATATTAAATCCTGACAAAGTTAAAAAGTTTAAATCACAACACTTATTATGAAGCTGCAAAGAACTATGATAGGTTAAGGATAAGGGATTTTCAAGTAGTAAATATACTGTATGAAGATAAAGTCCTGTGTGGGGAATGACATGAAAATACAAGTTCAATTTAAACAGACTGAAGTACAATATAAGAAGCAATATTTAGATACCATTAAATATTTAAGAGTACTGAATAGTTTTACTGGAAACTACATCCTTTGCTTTTGGGGGGAAGAGTGGGCGGTGGTGAGTTCCAAATCCAGGGCTTCTAGGCAAGCACTGAGCGACACCACTGCAGCTACACTGAAAATATTTCAACATAAGACAATTTTTTAATAACAAATTTTAAAGGGGACGTATAATTTCAGATGGGGATGTCAGAGGGGAAAAATAAAAGTTTAAAGGCCACTGCTGTAGCCTCCACACAAGAATTCCTCAGGATGGCGCCTGGGCAACCTCTTTAGCTTCCCCATATCCTGTGTTCCAGATAACAGGTACTTGGAGTTCTAGTCATCTCTGAGCCACACCATAGTTCAGAAGGCAGCTCAGGGAGTGTATGCTAATTTAGTACCTTTCCCAGATGGAGTGTGAAGGTGACAAAGAGAAAATACTGAACACAAAATTCTAAGCAATTTCTTTCAGGAAATTTGGGAATCATCCCAAACATTCATGGAATATCAGAAGGGCCCAACAGGAAATTTCCCTGGACCTGAACAGGAAAGTGAGGGAAGAAAGGCAAGGTAATATTTAGACTGAAAATTTAATTAAAGTGCAGGGCTGGGGTTGTAGCTCAGTGGTACAGCACCTGCCTAGCACATGTGAGGCACTGGGTTTGATCCTCAGCACCACATAATTAATTAATTAATTAATTAATAGAAATGTGTCCATCTACAACTGGGAAAAAAAAAGAGGTAAGTGCAGAATGCTCAGTGCTGTAATATCTCCAATCCACTGATAATGCCAACCATCAGCTACCTACACACGTAATTTAAGCCACTATTTTGGATGTGGCTAAACCTAATTTCTATTAGTTCTAGTGCTATTTGTACCTCACTTAGAAAAAAAACAAAAAAACTTAATGCTATGTAGAATTCATTTCTATAAAAAATATAAGGCTACATTATCATTTTTAAATATTAACCAGGATAGAGGTGTAACAGTGGCAGAGTGCTTGTCTGGCATGAGTAAGACCCTGGGTCTGATCCTCAGCATCATTTAAAAAAAAAAAAAAAAATCTGAAAATCTGCAAGCCCTAAGACAGAATAATAAGACAAAATGTTATTTGGGGGGAGATAAGGTGGTTAATGAAGTATTCTGAGTGGGTGGCACTTGAACTGAGACTTAACAGATGAAAAGAAATCAAGCAGGCACGAAGAACCAGGAGGCAGTGTCCCACACAGGGGGAACAATAAGTGCAAAGGTCCTGAGGCATGAAGGCAGCCAGAGGCTGGAACAAAATCAATAGAGAATGACTGGAGATGCCAGGCACCAGGAGCCAGACTGTACAGACATAATGCACAGTTATCCTTCAAAGGAGACTCCAGGCTCTGAGGATCAGAGCAAAAAACTGAAGAAAGTAACCCCAGATGCCTCCAATAGCAATTTAGTGGCATGGAACAGGAAGAGAGGGGGCAATGAGAGGACAGGCAGATGAAGCAACACAAGGACAGTGTGGGCTCCCAGAACGCAATGAGAAAGTCAATCAGGACAAAAGAGCAGGGTGACAAAGAAAACTAGGACTCTGGCCAACAGTGTGGGTTGTAGGAAGGGTTGGATCAGGCAGGCTAAGGCAGGAGCAGGTTGCTTCCCAAGCTGATACCCAGCTCAAAATTACTCCCTTTTCCCCAACTTAAACTTACTCAATGTAGAGTCTATGATGATCTTAGCCACTGCTCATATATGACATGCCAGTGACACCTCAGCCTCCCTGACCTCCAGGATAAAGATCACAGAAATTAAAACTGCCCACAAATCCAGATCCTCCCTCCTCCTCAACAAGTGGCTTGAACGGTATGTCTCGCCTCTTCAGAACCACTCACCTGGTGGTTCCAAATAGAGCCCTTTAATGATAACAAGATCCTTAGCCAAGTACTGAGGAAGGGGTCTAGGCCTTTAAGAATGTCAGAGAGATTCACCCACTGTCCAGAAGAAAGGGGGTCATGTGTACGAAGTGTACTCCTGGGTTCAGAGAACAAACATATCAATTTAAATGCGGTTTCTGCCATTTATTGGCTGCATTACCTATGCATAAAGACATGCAAACCATCTATTTCAAACAGTCTGCTTGAGAATTAAATGCAATCAGGTATGACAAGGTCAGTGCCTAACACACAGCTAAATACCCAATAATGATCCAGTTTGTTTCATTCTTCCCACGATAGAAGGGGATAAATTCAGACAATCTGACAGTTCCACCATTTTCTGACTATGAGCACTTTCAACTCTAAGACTTATTATTTTAGTCAGTAAAATGGAGATTACATCTCTTACTGTGCATGGCTTTTGAAGAAATTAAATAAGAAAAGTGTGAAGTGTCAAGCACAGCTCCTGACACATAATACTCAATATCCATTATTTATTATTAGTGAGTGTAACCAAGATGGAGAAGGAATGAGCGAGGGAGGAGCAGGGCACGCCTATAAACGAAGCTCAGGTCTTGGCTTCTTGGAGAGGCAAGGAGCAGTGGCTTGAACGGTATGTCTCGCCTCTTGGGAACCACTCACCTGATGGTTCCAAATAGAGCCCTCTTTGCTGCGCTCATCGGGGGTCAGACGCACGTACTGGCTCGTAAGCATTGTGCTGCCTTGGAAGTCCCAGAGAGGCATGGAGCTGGAACCAACCCCTGTAGGCAGAGAGACGGACATAAACAGGTGCGTGAGAGGCCATGCCAGGACTGGTATTGAGAAGGGCAGGAAACCCACACAGCAGCTCTCCTCGAGAGAAAGGGCACGCCCTCCCCCAACCCAGCTCAGCCTTGCCCTCATCCTTCACTCAATTCCTTCCCGGGCCTCACCTTGGTAGGGCTTGATAAGCGAATGCTCCCGCTTGAGGTGTTCACTGTTGCCGTCAGTTATATCCGCAGCCACTGACGCCAGCAACAGAAGAAGATGTAGAAGGGTAACGGGGCCAGGGCCGGGGCCAGGAAGCCCAGGTCTCCCTGGGCACCGCCGGCCCCAGCCCCAGCGCCAAAACCAGCCCTCCTCCGCCATTCTCCTTTCCTCTCGGCCACTTCCGCCCTAGGACTTCCGCCTTCCGGATGTCCTATCTAATGGCCTCCGGCCGGAAACCCTCCAACTCTAGTGTCACCGGGGAGTTAAAAAACAAAGCCTCTCAGCCGAGGGGGTGGCAGCTTTACTAGATGGGCAGCCCCCTGTCCTGGTTGAGGGTCGTTCCATCACCTTGTAGGTTCCAGGCACCTGCCAGCCGGGCTCAGCAATGGATTCTTAGGCGCCACAGAGTTTCAGCCAATCACAGAGCAGCACGTTAGGTTTGTAAGCCAATGAGCAGAGCAATGGTTTGAGCCGCGGGGAATGCGAGCGCTGTCCTCCGAGCAGAGCACCACGGAGCTTGTAGTTTTTATCGGCTGCTTGCGCGGACTGGATGCGCAGGACTATAACGCCCTTCTCCTCTGGCCTCTGGTCTGGTCTCTAAAAAGATCTTTGCCAATTTGAGGTGGGGGCGGTGAGCTCTAAATTGAAGTAGCAGGCTTGATGACTTTGACTCACTGAGTAGCCTCCGCCCCAGCTAGTTCCAGGCGTTGGGGGACGTAAAATTCCCCGCTATTTGAGGGCCTCCACTGCCCCCAACTCCGCAGGTCCAGTCGGGTTGAAGCAGGAGGAGCAGACCCAGGTCTTGGCCTGGGACCCTAGTGATGGTCGGAACCTGTCTGAATCCAAACCATGACGCTGCCCTGTCTTGGAAGAAGCATCCATGAAAAGTTTGGCAAAGATGGCTGTGGATAAGAGATTGAAACTAGTTCAATAAATGATTTAATTACCAATACTTTTAAGTCAGAGTACTTAAATTCACATCGGAAATCCCGATTGCCACTTTTTCAAGAAAAATTGGAAAATCTAGACCCACATTCCTGCAAGAGGACTGTAAACTGGGGCTGATGGGGACTGCCTCTCTACAAAGGCAGCCCTCTTCCAACCTAGCCTCCCGTTGGACACTGATGTACATCAATTGTCTCATTAATGATTCCTGTTATAGAAACAGGATGAGATGTTTGTTGGTCGCTCCTGTATTTTAAGAACCTGTCCTCTTAAATGAATGAACGTATTCAGCATTTAGTACTGAGACCTCTTTTCTAGGTCATTTGTTTTATTTTTCTGGTAATGGGAATTAGACCAAGGAGCACTCTACCACTGAGCTACATCCTATTCCTTAAAAAAAAAAAAAAAAAAAATTAAGGCTAACCTTGAACTTTCAATTCTGCTTCAACTCCCAAGTAGCTGGGATTATAGTCATGCACCCCATGCCCGGCTCTGAGTCATGTATTTTAAATTACTATTTTGTATTAAAGCAATACATTATTATGGTGTGCTTGATATACACCACAGGGTATCCTAAGGGGGGCTGGCTCCAGGGAACCCTCTCAGTACCAAAATCTGAGGATGCTTGGGTCTCTTATATAAAATGGCATAGAGGCTGAGTGTGGTAGCAGAGGCCTATAATTCCAGTGACTTGAGAGGCTGAGGCAGGTAGATCACAAGTTTGAGGCCAGCTTCAGCAATTTAGCAGGGTCCTAAGCAACTTAGTGAGACTCTGGCTCCAAAAATAAAAGGGCTGGGGATGTAGCTCAGTGGTAAAGCACCTCTGGGCCAAATCCCCAATACAAAAAAAAAAAAGAAAAAAAAAGAAAGAAAGAAAAGGAAAATGGCATAGAATTTATACATAACCTATGCACATCCTCTCTTATATTCTTTAAATCATCTTTAGGTTACTTATATCTAATACAATGTAAATGAAATGAAAATAGTTGTTACATTGCATTATTTAGAGAATAATGACAAGAAAAGTCTGTATATATTCAGTACAGATTCAAAAATTTTCCCTAATATTTCCCAACCACAGTTGATTGAATTGGTGAATGTGGATCCTGCAGATACAGAGGCAGCTGTATATATGTATCTGTATATATACATATAAATAGAGAGAGGGAGGGACAACAAAAGTCTTCTGCCTCCCCTCCCAATGGGTCTATACTTCTGGAGATTAACCTTTACCTGTGCAAACAAGGACATGTACATTCCACTGGACTCCCATCAGGGCTGGGATTTTTGTCAACTACAGTCACTACTGAATCCCAGCATCTAGTTTAATGCACATAAGAGGTGGTTAGTTGGTGAAAGAATGATTATTTGTTCTAGAACCTGGAGTTGGGTCATGAAGAATGAGTAGGAATTTACCAGGGAGGGAAATGGAATTCTCAGTAGAGACAACCTGAGATACAAAGTCAAGGAGGATGGTGCCTGGAAGCATTAGGAATACAACAATTTGGAACAGATAGGAAGAATGTGACTGAAGACGGGGAGTGGCTGAGACCAAAATTCAAAGGGTCTTCATTTCCCCACCAAGGAGCCATTTTTCAGAATTCAATGAGATGGTTTTAAGTACAGCAGTGACTGATGTGTGCATTTCTCTAGCGGGAGTGAGAAGAGACTGGAGGGGAGTCTGTTAGGAAAACTGAATTCATTATGACCAAATAAGGGTAAGACCTAAGCCAAGGATGAAGAAGGATCAGAAGTCCCATCAGAAACTAGGTTCTAGTAACTGTTCTGCTGTGGGAAACCAGAGAGAGGGAAGTTGAGGTCGGTGTTCTATGGGGTGAAAGTATTCCATGGAGTGGAGAAGACTAGATGAGAGCTAAGAGATAAGAAATCCCAGGGTTAGCTGGGGCCCCTGTGGGAAGAGTTAGAACTGGCATCCCTGTTGGAGAGTTGGGGAGAGGCATTTCAGCAGCAGCAGGAATGAACAAACTTAATTGGAAGTCCTTGTGACTGGGCCTTTGACAGGAGGAAGATGAACTGTTTGCTCATGGGCTGGTGGAGGTTCAAGCCCAGGTCCCAGCACCCAGGGTGCATTTGCCATTTAGCAAGTCTCTAACATGATATATACAGTCTTGGACAACTCACTTCTCTCTGAGCCTCAGTTTCCTGATCTATAAAATAGGAATAATGAATACTACTCACAAAATGGTTGTGAGGATCAATTGAAGTTCTGTCAAAAGACACTATAAACTATAAAACACCCTATGAGCTTAGGCTTGGATCTATAGCACAGCAAATAGGCAGGCTTCATTTATGGCATACATCCTAAACTCCCTCATAAGTACCACCTTTGAGAAGACCACCATTGAGCTGAGGTTGTGGCTCAGTTATAAAGCACTTGCCTAGCATGCATGAGGCCCTGTTTCTGTCCCCAGTACTACATGAATGAGTAAATGAATGAATGAGTAAATAAACTCATCTTTAAAAAAAAAACGCCATTGACAATGACCTATGTCTGAAAGCAACCCCATCCCCACCCCCTACACAAACCAAGTCTGACTGAATCCCTCTGTCTGGATGAACTGAAGCAAGATGTTTGGAGAGAATCAAATGTATTAACTAGGGTCACGCTAGTTGCTATAACAAACATACCCTAATGTGTACAATGGCTCAAGGAAGTTTGTTTCTGGAGAGCTGTCATGGCTGTCCAGAACTGATATTCCAGGTCGATGGATGGCATCCTTGCACAGACATCATTTCTTCCTTCTATGAATCCCCAATCCCCTAGAGCCTCATTGTCTATATACAGCCAGTTAAAAAAGAAAGAATATGGAGGGCACACACCTACTTCTTCAAAGCCTGGCCCAGAAATGGCACATGTCATTCCATTCCCTTAATTGATGAGAATTGGTCACACGGTCAGAAGTACCTATAAGGGGTCCTGAGAAGTTGAGATTAGCCAGGGAGGAACAGGACATGAATGTGTAGTGAGAAGTGACTCAAGTTTCTGCCACTGCAGAGTTCAGGTGACAGCCCTAGAAGGGGACAGGGGGGCAGAGATAGATTATGGAGCAGGGAATATTGCCTTGTCTCTATAAAAGAAATATCCCAAACCAGAGTGGTGAGTGACTTGAGGTCTCTAAGTTAGCTCACACTTAGAGTAAAATATAAGTCCAAGTAATGGGGACATGCATGTGTAAGTAGGAGGCAAACTGAGGACTCTGGTTAAAGCACCTGAATCCATCTGGGGCTGGTTCAGGGCTGAGGGTAGGGGTCACCTTCAGCCACCAGTACTTGCTGTGAACTGAATGTTTGTGTCTCCCCAAACATTCATATGTTGAAACAATAACCTCCAGGGCAGTGGTATTTGGAGATGTTGGAGATGAGGGCTTGGGAGGTAACTACGCTGTGAGTAGGAATCCCTTATGATGGCATTAGCACCCCTGTAAAAAGAGACAGCAGAGAACGTGTGTCCTCTTCTCTGTTCTTTCACTTGAGGACATAACAAAAAGACGGCCATCTGCAAACCAGGAAAGGGGACTTCATCAGACACCAGATCTGCCAGCATCTTGACTATCCTAACCTCCAGCATTGTGAGAAATGAGTGTTTGTTGTTTAAGTCACACAGCCCATGGTATTTTTCTTACAGAAATCTGAGCTGAGACAGTCCTACAACCAAGACCACTCTGGTTTGGGATATTTCTTTTATAGAGACAAGGCAATATTCCCTGCTCCATTTCATTTCTATGCAAATGAAAAATGTATGCACATGGCCTTCAACATAGATGTACCTGATCTGTTCTCTTACCCAGGTAGGTGAGATGCACATACCTGGTTACATATGTCACTGGCTATATATGGGCCTATATACAGGTATGCCTGTCCCATGTGCCTGTCCAAGGAACAGTGAGTGCCTATGACTGAACACCCAGGTGCCATTTATGAGGGAAAGCCCAAGTGTTTATAATATGTACACCTGTGTGGTCTGTGTGTGCATGACCATGAACACAAGATATCTACTGTCTGCACAACTGGGCCCATGCATGAGATGACAGCCTGTAGGTGTCTGGGATGAGGGGTGGTAAATTTGCATGTGCACATAGTGGGGCAGAGATACTGTGCATGCACACTGCTGGCACACAGTAGGTATGATACACGGGTGTGCTGAGCAAAGTACACACGTGGATATGCAGGACCCAGGGCACATGTAAGCATGTCCACAGGAACCCCTCCCAGGTACACAGGTGCCAAATGTGTGACCATGCACTCTGTGTGCTCACACAGAATCTTGGAGCTCCCAGGGCTGAGCCAGACCAGGCGGGGCTCCTCCTTGGGTTCCGGACTGGGAGGCCTCTGCTGTGTATTGGTGCCTGCGAAGGGTGCTGCCAAGGGTGTGTTGGCGACGTGTGTGTGTGTGTGAACGTGC